AAGCCATAGTGGAAGCATCAAAAGTTGGTCAGCGAGAGTTAGAAGTCAAGTAGGCGGTGGGGGCTCCAGATCCAAAGGTGGCCAAAGTAGGTCACGTGTTTAATTCTAATCATAATAATCACAAGAGAATTGCTGGAGGGCGTCGAAGGAAGCTCACCGGAGGCTATGCACTAGCCTCGTGTGATGATGAGAGTCTCTCTACTAGAGGCAGCAACAGTTGGCCACGAAGGCAGTGGCAATGGTGGCGGAGGCAGTGGCAACAGAGAAGTTCTTGCGTGAAACACTAGAGAGGAGAGAAACTAGTTTTCTTTTAATCCGGTGTTCAGGTACTTTGGTGCTCTGTATTGTGTGTGTAGTGTATTGCCAATCATGTGAGATTCTTTTCACGAGAAAAGAAATTGCAACAGGAGGAAATCATGTGATGGTGCTCAGGATCTGTTATTCTGTATGTTTAGGTGTTTGGTGTAACACGTCCACTTTAGTCTCACATGGACTAGTATGAAGAAATATTAATGACTTAAATAGATAAGCCCAAAATCCAAGAACAATTAGTGCTAGCATTTTGACAGTGAATTGAGCCAACGCTCAAATTGCTCTCGGTAGGTCCTACGGTTGACACACGCTAACGGGCCCGTGAGCCCGGGACGTGACAAATGGTATCAGAACAATTGTCAGGCAGAAGTGTGAAGCTAAGTGTTATATGGGGCTAAGTGCTACACCATGTGGATGCAGTGAGAGGCATCTCTAGAGCCCGTAGAAGTCATCTCTAGAGTCCACATCACCTGACAGTGATACTGGGATGTGCCAATTGTCATGTCGTGACGACGATGACGTCGTCTTTGTAAGGTGAGATAATTGTGACATCCCTACTTTAGTCCCACATAGACTAGTGTGAAGAAATGTTAATGGCTTAAATAGAGAAGCCCAAAACCCAAGAACAACTAGTGCTAGCATTTTGACAGTGAATTGAGCCAACCTTCGAGTTGCTTTCAGTGGATCCCACGGCTTACACGCACCAACGGACCCGTGGGCCCGAGGCTTGACATTTGGTGTTTGGTCCAATGTAATGGACAACATTGTTTTATCAGTAAATCATGGGCCTATAGAGTCAATCTAAGAATCAAATTCTATATTTTTTTTTTACATTTTGAATGCAATAGTTAAAGTGAATCAGGCTGATTCTGCTGTTTGGAGCCAATTTCAGACAATCACGCATTGATTGGATGAAGTTTGACAAATTTATATGAGGTATGGTTATGTATCTCTTGATTGATGGACACTAGTTACTTCTAGACATAGTGTGACACATGTCATACATCATTGAGTCATCAGAGTTGGTCATGGTGTTTGGATCGAGGTGGAGCGTGATGCTCAAAATGGTATGAGAGTTTTGACCAAAGTGGAGCACGGTGTCGTCCAGGTGTGACAGGTTGAGAGATCCAATGTGCTTGTTTGAAAGACAACTATGATACTATTCGTTTGTTTCTACGAGGTGAAGCATGGTTTCTCATGGGGAGGTTGAGCAATATTCCCATAGGTGTGGCTTAGATACGAGATAAGCTGGAGATTGTTAGGATATGTCTTGTATCTGTTATAGTATCTAACATAATTTTAAGCCTAGTGTAGGCCCTTTGTGCTAACTTAGTGCTAGTGTTTCTTTTGTTAGCACTAAATAAGTCTCTCATACTGCCTGAGATGAGATTGAAAGCTTTGGAGAGAATATGAGAAAGCGTATATGAGGGTGAGAGAAGTGAGTGATCTCTCTTGTAATGCTCTCCCTCATACATAGTGGATATCTCGTATTGTTGCCCATGAATGGAGGCCGAATTTGGTTGACCGAACCACTAAATCTTGGTGTTTCTTCTTCTTGATTACTATTGTCTATATCTTGTGGTTTTGGTTTGATCTCTATCAATTTGAGGTAAGAATTGGAAATCATTAATTCTCAATAGTTGTCCTTTGTAAGATGCAAATATGAAAGCCATTGGTATGCCCTTGTCTTAGCGCTTTTTCAAGCAGTAGTGTTCTTTGCTAGGGATATAATATGGATATGGATGGAAAGCCAACGAACTAGTAAGTCATTTTTACCCCTTGATGTTCTTCCTTTAGAGACAATAGGGTGTTGTCCCCATGTTCTAACTCCGGACCATCTGATTATCAAGTTTTTTTCTCCCTCTGCAATTGAAAGGTCTTTCCCGAGCTATCTATAAGGATTTTTCCAGAAATCTATAGGTATTCCCCTGCTTCTATCAAAGCTACTTTCTTTTCTAGGCCTGTGTGAAACGGGTAAGCAGTGCGAGAGTATGAGTTTTTGCAATAAATAAGCCTTCTTTCAAGCTTGGAGGGAGGAAAGTATCTTACCTTACGCAAGTCTGTTAAATCAGTCAAGTCATTTCTAAATAGAGTTCTATAATTCTTTGCAGGTTCTCTTTAGTTTCAAGATGTGTTGAAGGTTGAAAATTGATTTGCACAGAAGCCCACATATAAGAATTTGTCACTTATCTTCGGCCTCTTCTACTATCCAACCAAGACTACCCTTTAACTATCTAGGCCTCTTAATCTCGGGTGTCTTAACACAGAAAAATTTATTGTCCC